AGTTACCCTAAAATTTTGTTAAAATAAAATTAAATAAATATTATTAAAATATTAAGTATTTTAATATTTAATAATTTAACTATTATTATTTAAAACATTACATCACCTAATTTAACATTGTTTATATTTAAATATTATTTTTGCTAGCATTTTATAAATTTATAGATGACTTATTATTTTTTATATATCAATCTTTAATCTTCTCTCCAATACAGTATCCAAATTATTACGCCTTTTTTGTGTGTTGGAACTTACTTATATTTTTAATATTGATTAAATTTCATAATTTTTTTGGTTAACTAATGATCTTCTTTTAAAATATTGCATTACCCAAATTTAATACTCTCTATATGTTGTAGTGTTAATAGTGAAATCATAAACATGACAAATCAAGACCAATAATATGACAATAAAAATATTTATTTGAAAGATATCACTTATTTCATTAATACGCTATAAAAAAGTTACTTAAAAAGAGAAAAATGAAGAGATGAAAAGAAAAAATTTCTTCATTAATTTGGAAGTTTATTCACTTCAATTTTAATACCAAATCACAAAATATTAAAAATATTAAAATATTAAATTGAGTGGTGTAATATTTTAAATAGTAACATTTAAATTATCAAATATTAAAATATTTAATATTTTAATAATATTTATTAAATTTTATTTTAATAAGACTTCAGAGTACCCAACGTTTGAAGAAAAAGACTTTAGGATATTTAGCGCTTCTAAAAAAAGAGTCTTGGGACAAATTAGTACTAAAGAACATGGTCAAAGTTTTACATGTCATTATGTGTGGGCCCCACACACATGTCACATCAACAAAAAATAAAAAAATTAATGATTGATTAACGTAAGAGGATTTTGGTTCCTCCAAAAAATAATTCAAAGACAAAATTACCTCATTTAAGAGTATAGGGTGCCCGGTGCTCTTAAAAAATAAGTACAGGGGAAAAATTAAACATTAATCCTAAATTAAAGTTAGTTTTTGAAGTCCTTATGAAGATAGAATGATACTCGAGTAGACCGGGTGCACCATATCATTTATGATCTGTCCAATAAAAAATGATATTTAGATGACATTAAATATAAATTAATTCTAATATTAATGATAATGAAGAAATAAAATGCAAGAAATCAAATATGCATTCTATTATAAAAATAAAATCAATTAAAAAATACTCATTTTATCTCAAATTATAAAATCCTTTTAGACAAAATCTCACATACCAATAAACCTTATTAAATACACCTAACAATCTCATCTTTTCAAAACAAAGATATAAACTTCAAATAATATTCATCATTTAATATATTAAAAAAAGAAGAAATGAAAGTTAATTATAGAGAGAGAAAGAATAATATTAAAATTAACATATTTAATAAAATTTTAATTTATCCAAAGTATTGGAGGAGTGTTTCCCTAAAAGGCCAAAAAAAAAAAGTATCACAAGCTTTCTTTATAAATATGTTAGTTTTTCTTTATAAAATATGCAAAAAAAAGAAAGAAACTTTTTTTGGCCCCCGACTTTCTTGACATGTTTCATCCCCCTCCATATGTCAATATCTGGATGCGTCGCCAAGAGAATCCTCGCTCATGGACATGTTGATGAATAGCCCCATAATTCATTAACTTTCTTAGTGTTGGTGGGCCCATGCCTTTTGCTCTTCAGCAAGAAGATTGGGGTGATTTTTATTTTTAAAAAAATATACAATTGATAAACAACATAAATTAATAAGAAGGGTATTTTTTAAAAAAACGTAATTATTAATGTTTTACAAAATATTGTGAAGTGACTTAAACAACATAAATTAATAAGAAGGGTATTTTTTTAAAAAACGTAATTATTAATGTTTTACAAAATATTGTGAAGTGACTTATATTTATCATAAAACCTTCTAAAGGTCAAGGCCTGTGAATGAACAGAGGAAAAACATGCTAAAATTTATCTACTATTTGAGTATATGATAATACTCATATTTAGATTAGCATTAGTATGCAGGTACGCCAAGAAAAATTATGTTTGGGATTTATCGAAAAGAAAATGAAAATATATATATTTTAAAAATGTGGGATATGATGAAAATAATGACATAAAAAAATTCAAAAAAAACCAAAATGACTTGAGAATAACAAATAATATATATTATCAAGTATGTACTACACCAAATATATACTGAAGACTGAGCAATACACTTTATTCTTTTCCTTTTTGATAAACTAATACACCTTATCCTTTAAAAATGAGTTTAGCTACACAATAAACCTCGGTCGAAGGTTACTATTCTATCGTTGATATAGGGGTAATTTCGGATTTAAATTGTGAATTTATAGACTACATATAGAACAAAAGATGTGTGATTTTAACCCGGTGGGGTTAGATCAGCTAGTTGTGGCTGTTTTTGTTTAACCATAAGTTTTAAATTCAAGCTGTGGTTACACAGCACTCTAGAGGCTAGGGGTGCCAATTTTAATGGTTTCATGTTATGCCTTGATCCGGATTAATCTGAAACCGTTGATATGCTTGAAAGATGACCTGCCTTAAAATATCGGGTGCACATAAAAAAATAAGTGTGATTTTTTCCCTTTTTGGGGAAAAAATGATTGATTGACTTGAACAATGGAATCTTTTGACTCCCTGAAGATTTCCAGGAAAATGACTACGTGCATCTCCTTCACTTTTCTATCAAATCAAACGCAAAGCGGCAAAATCTAGTGTCTCTCTTATTCTATTGCCGCCCTTTTTTCCATTTACCAAATATAACCAGACAAAACTTATTTAAAGAATTTAATTTGGAATTGGCTTTCCTCTTTTAAAAAAATGAATTTTTGTGGTTACAAAAAACACCATTCTACGGTAGTGGTAACGACAGCAATAAGAAATAAAAATTAGGTATGAATAGAACATGTAAGAGCAGGGGGATAAGAGAGAAATGTCATCCTTGCCCTCTTTTTTTATTTTTTTATTGATTTTATTAATGGAAATTGAATTTCATTTGTTAATTAGGATTAAGTTCCAACAAACCACCCACCCACCAGTTACTTGAGGTTGAGCACCTTTTCAAGGAAATATAAAATAACAGAAATATCTAAATATATTTAATTCTTTATGAGATCATAAAAACCCACTCTCTGAAAAATCACTACAGATTTTCATCATTAAATTTAAATTTAATAATTTTTAAAAATACATATTTAATTTGAATGGTTTAAATTTGTAACAAAGGAGAAGTGGCCCACTCCATTTAATTTAGATCTAATTTGGGAGAATTGTTTTTGACTGGTGTTTCTGCAATTCAATCATTAATTTAAAATATAAATAAGAACGTAATTAAGTTACCAAAGCCACGCCCATGAAGAGAGAAAATAACATATTCTAGGGGAATGTTTGATTTCTATTTTCAAAAATATTTTTCGTTTTGAAAATTTTAAAAATAAAAAATTGGTTAATAAATTAAAAATCTCATTTTTAAAAAAATCCTATTTTATTTTTTAAATAAAAATCTCGTTTGGATAATTTTTTTAAAAAATATTTTATTTTTTTAAAAATAAAAATATCTTAAAGTTATTTTTATTTTATTTTTCTTATTTTCAATGAAAAATATAGTAAGATTGACCAAATTATATCACAAACCACAGCTATTAACAATAACCAAACGGCTTTTTTTATTTTAAAAAATTCTGAAAAATGTATCATAAAACAGTTTTAAAAATAAAAATAAAAATCAAACAAGCTTATAGATTTAAATATTTTCAAAACTATTCTCATTTTTATATTTAAAAACAAAAAAAAGAAGTGTCTTAAAATTATTTTCATGTTCTTTTTTACTTTTAAAGTATACTATATTTGACTATCGTAAACTACCCGTAACTATTGCCAATACTATTAAGTAATAATCACTGGCTGCCATCACTATTGGCCAATTTTTTAACTCAAATTTTTTTTTCAAACTCACATATTCAAATAATTTTTTGGTTTTGTTTTGAAAAACACATTTTAAAAATTGATTTACAAAATATATTTTAAAAACAAAAAATAGAATAAAATCAAACAAGCCCTTCTTTGAAAAGTGAAAACATATATTTCGGAAGCTTTTTGTAAAGCACTTTCAGCATTACTAAACAAAACTAACGAGAAACTTAAAATAAATTAACTCTATTGTTAAAAAAATTAATTTTAATCCTCATTTAAACCCTTATAGGGTTACTTCAAAAGATAAGAATAATATAATTTTCAGTCTCTTACTTTTACCTAAATTATCAATCAAGTTCTTAAATTTTTACAACTATTCATAGTTAGTATTTATGGTGTATTCGTGTTGTTATTCTCCCCACAAACTATAAGGACTAATAGCGTGTAATCATGAAATAATTGTAAGGACTTAATTGATATAAGTTAAATTTTAAGGATTATATTGATAATTGAGATAAACTTGAGAACCAAAAATTTCATTATACAAAAACCAATATTAAATAAGAGCAATAAGAGAGAGATGTGAATAAAAGTCTTTTATGATGTCTTTTAGAGTAGAAAAATTGTCCTTCATGGCCTTTTAAAAAGGAAAAAAAAAACTTTCATATATGTCTTATAAAAAAGACAAGAGGTGTAGTGTATATAAAAATATTCCTAATATTTTTTTTAAATATTATGTTGAGTATGCCAATTGCCAAATCGTTTTGTTATTAAATATAATGATAGATCGAGCAAGCATTTAAAAAGACTATAAATAAAATAAAAAATGTTTCATTCATAAAGTATAACACACACTTACAGTCTACTAGATGTTTTAGTGTGTGTGTGTTTTTAAAACGAACGAGGGAGTACTAAGAAGCTCAAATGCTATAGTATTTTAAAAATGAGAGGTCGAGAAATTTTATATATGCTGGAATAAAAATAAATACTCCTGTATAAGAAAGTGCACAAGAGAACAAGAGAACAATGAATGCATGTTGAATTACTGTCCCTTTATGAAACACAAGGGCCAAACACCAAATAACACATCACAATTCATTTATTTATTTTTTGTCATAGAATGATTGCAAGCCATCTTTTGTTTGCGATTAGGTACATCCGAAAGTCAAAGAACAAACTTTTAACACTTCTTCATTAACGAACACGATCTAACTCCTTACAAACCCAAATGAATCTGATCCTTCGAACCATATGATCTTCAATCCAGGCCATGCTAATCTAATTTGTAGTTTCCTCCACTTTCCGCAGTAGTCCCTATCATAAATGCATGTTAGTAAACAAAATTAACATCAAGATTTCACATTAGATTATGTATATAGTGGCTGTTATATATCAGCAATCATAAAACATGACTTCAGCTTCATGGGAAAGACAAACCATTTGGACAAAATTACAGTATTAGGGGAAAATATTAGGCCAGCGTACTTGTGTCAAACTAAATATGGGAAAAGCTTACTCCCTCAGTTTAAAAATATAAAATATTTTTAATTGAATCTCACTCTCCAATAAAATAGTTATTTACTTTTCAACTAGCTTTGTCTTTTCATATTTACATTTATTAAATATCCTACAATAAATATAAAGTCATTATCAATAAGAGCACTTAAAAAAAAACAATGATTACACCTTGAAAAATTAAAATGGATTATATTTTTTAACATCCAACTTCTCAAAAAATACCTTATATTTTTAAATGAAAGAAGTATATACTTAGTTTTATATATATTTAAGATACTTATTTTCAATTAAATCAAGACATATAAATTTTTTATAGATTATTTGTTTAATAATAAATTCTTATTATCAATATTATTAACCCATTAAAATTCACTTGTCTTGTCGGATCAAAAAAATTTATTTCTTTAATTTAATTGAATAAAAATATATTAAATATATAATGCTAAGTATATAATTAAATCTTACCTTATCTTGGCTTTAATTAAGTAAATTAGAAAAATATAATCATTAATCCCTGTAATTTTGTTGGATTTTTTTTATTCTTATAATTTTTTCAATACTTTTAGCCTTTATAGAAATTAAAAACATTAAAACTGTTGAGACTTAAATAAAACTACAAGGACATGAGCAATAAGCGTAACACAACATTATAGATATTTTCGATGCTTGGAATTTTGATTGATTACCTTCGAATTCGAGAAAGAGGAGAATCTCAAAAATCAAATGATTAGAACTTATATGAGCAATGACTGACTCCAACAACTACCCAGGCCTTCCCCGAATGGACCTTCAATTTTCAGAAAATCTTCTTGGTCCCAAAACTCCATAGTGAAATTCCCAGCTTGCCCTTCATCATCTCCTTCATCATTCAGCAAACTCGCCCACCACGCTTCTAATTTATCTCTCTGAGTAAAATGAACAGCACATGGCTCTGCAACACTCTCTTTCATATCACCACTAGAACTAGTTCCAGTTTCAGCATTAATAATATCAGTGTCACCACCTTCACTTGCGGAAACAATCTTAATATTATTATTATTCCTCCTCAGCCATGGCGAATTCTTAGAGAAAGTGTGAGGCTGAGGTTTTATCACTACGTGCTGTTTTACTTCTTCTGTCTGATCCTCTTTTGCTTTCGTCCCATGGCTTTCTTCTTTATTCTTCCTCTTCCGCATGTTGGTGTGCCAGAAATTCTTCACGTCATTCGCTGTTCTTCCTGGCAGCCTTCCAGCTATCAACGACCATCTATATATTCACACAGTAACCAATGATCTCTCAGTTTATTAAGCAATATTTATGTCAAAGTTACATGCAATGAAGAAGACGATATAGAGAACATGCATGCCTGTTGCCCAGAAGTTTATGGAACCTTTGAATCATGTCAACCTCGTCGTCGGTGAAGCTTCCTCGGTTGATGTTGGGTTTCAGATAATTCAACCATCTCATTCTGCAGCTCTTCCTGCATCTCTTCAAACCTACAATATAAATATACATACATACATATATATATATATATATATATATTAAGCAATATGAATGTGTGTGATCAGTGAGAGATGTGTATGTATATGTACCAGTTCTTTGAGGAACAAGATGCCATTTTCCCTCGCCGTACTGGTGAATGCTAGCTTTGAGAAGATCGTCTTCCTCTTGGGTCCAGGTACCTTTCCTCAGACCTGTCGGGTTCTTCTCCATTAATTTCAAGGCTTATAAGCTTAATATGCCCAGTTTTAATGCGCTCTATCTTTCTGTGTGTGTGAGTGTGTGTGTGTGTGAGCTTATCTTATCTCCACTCTCGCAGCGAAGTCATGAGATGAATCATAACTATTGGTGAACCAGTGAATTAATGTCCCAATTATGTATAAACATGGGCAGACCGAGCCTCCGTGGCCTCATTGCCATCCTTAGATTCAAATTAAAGTTTCTATGCTTCTCAACCGTACGAGAACACCATATTGAGCTCTAACTATGGGATGGGCCAGGCATAATAACGCAATAATTAATAATTTGTATATTACTTCCACCGTTTAGTATTACTATATGATTTTTAAGATATTTTTTAAAAGGTTAAATGTTAAAAAATATAAGATATTTTTTTAAAGTGTAATCATTACGTTTTTAATAGAAAAAATTGAATAAAACATTTTAAATTTTTAAGATAAAATAAATAATTTTTTTAAATAAAAATAAATATAAAAAAATGTTAGAACTTAAATATCATTAAGACATTTAATAATTTATCAAAGGTGTAATTAATTAAAAGTGTTTTATAATTATGAATGAATGTTTTTTTGTATTTTTAAATTTTAAATTTTATATTATTTTTAAAAAATTAACAGACAGAAAGAAATGTTGGTATTTAAATATCATTCATGATGAGTCTAACCTATTTCGCCGCACTCCTGACCTTTCAGCTGTTGAATAATTGCATGCATGTCAAGTACAGTATCGGAGACAGGTTAACGTGCAACATCTGAGTCCACAAACACTTCTCTGGAGATCTTGTAAGACACACCACCCCAAAAAAAGCCAAAAAACCGGGGAAAATTTAAACAAGTCTGCACGTTTTTATTTTTTGATTAAGTCTATATTTATATTTAATTTAAAGTTTATAGAAGATTATCTTATTTCCAAGTTATGAGCAGTGTGATGACTCATCTTAAACTCTGATACATTAATGTTTGGAAGGAAAGAAAAGTATATAAGAAAAAATTACATAATTTCTTGTCTGGTTAAGGAAAGAAAAATGAAAAAGTGATAAAATTGAGAGAAAAATAACATATAAAATTCACATATTTTTTCTCTCTAACTTTTCCTTAAAAATTGAAGAGATTTTGTAGATAAAACTCCACATCAAAATTTTCCATGGATACTTCTCAATTTTTCATTTCTTGTCCCCTCCCTCCCTCCATATTCATCCTTATATTTGGCTACAGTTTGTTTTTTTAGGATACTGTATATTTAATAATTTTATAACTAAATTTAAATTAGATAGAATAATTTGTAATTATATTTTATTTATTCCGCTAGTATTTGTCAACAAATATTTTTATTTGAACTTGACAGCTTTTATTTTCTCCTTGTTTTCTCTTGGTACTTTAATTTCTTATAAGGTTTCTATTTAGTCATCTTAATCTTATAAAATATGTTTTTCAATCTTTTAACCCTAACATCATTTGAAATGTCTAGGACATTAACCAATAACAAACCACAAAGTTTAAAACCAATTAATTAGATTAACAAAGGTACAAAAGAAAGATAGTACTCCCTCCATTTAAATTATAAGAGACTTTTAGAGAAGTTTCAGCTTCATAAAATAGAAGACATTTTAATAAAAATAATGTTTCTTTTATGATAAGTTTTTATATTATTCTTTTTATATATTTTCTCTTTAATATTCTTTATCAATTGAATATTAAATGAAAGGCATTTTTAAAAGTTTATATTTTTGCCTTGAAAAAAGTAAAGTTGTAAAGTATATTTAATGAATTTTATTAATATATAAGATTTTGCCTATCTTGTAATTTGAGATAAAGGAGTATCAACTTTGACTATTTAAAAATTTTAAAGATTAATTTAAAAATACTTTCAAGTAGGGTTGTGTAGGTGGCCTGGTGGCCCAATCAACCTAGTCCTACTTGAACTAGTCAAGCTAACCAGGTTGGGCTTCGAGTTTGCACCTGGCTAGGGTTAATTCTAGCCTGCCCTACCTGGCCTAAAAATATTATATATATTTTTTGCAATTCTTTTAAAACTTAACTATTTTATAGTGTTGTTTCACTTAATATTTTTTATTTTCATTGTGAAATTTTCTGTTATTTCAATTTTCCTAATATTTTTAAATATTTAAAATTTATTTTATACTTTATATCATGTAAAAATAATGAATAATTGTTAATAATATATAATCTAAAAATTTTACTTTAAATTCTAACATTAGTTTTAAGGTAAATATGTATTTTTTTCTTGAAGTATTCTCTTAAGAGCATCCAACACCTTCAATTATTGGTTAGAACCTCAATTATTGGTTAGAACAATTTTACTTTTAAAGTAATTAAAATGAAGTATTTTTATCCTTTTTGTTAAATTCTTAGGGATCAATGTTGGAGTTTCAATAATATTTCTAATAGTCAACATTGAGAATTTGATAGCAAAGCTAAAAAATACTCCGTTTTAATTACTTTCAGAGCAAAATTGTTCAAAACTAATAGTTTAAGGTGTTTTGGTATGGCTAATGAACCTATTGAAATTATTTACAGTATATAGATCGAATCTAATGATGTTTTAGGCAACCTAAGCCTAGAGGACTAAATTTGGGCTAGTCATTCTGTACCATTCGCTATGGTGAAAAGCACTATGCGCTGCAATGATGGGCAAAAATTTTAATTTGCACTTGCAAATGTGAATTTAGAACGAAGAAAGAAAAGGAAAGAGAAAGCAAAAATAGAGGGCAAGAGCTCTACTAGGACGAACCCTAGGCCTCTAATGAAGTATTATATTATGATTATTTGAGTTAATGGGAATCAAATGAAGTCAATGAAAGTTAATGAACTCATTGGATAAGATAGTTAACTTGTAGTTAGAAAGTTGGTTATTATAGTGGGAATTTAGAAGCCGAAAGGATTGTTTGGATGATTATTAGTAATTGATAGTTGATATTACTTGTAGACTAACCTTGCAAAGCACTGTAAAGTTTGAGTTTAACTCAAGGGTTGTTTTCCCTTTTACTTTTAAAAATAATATAATTTGACTCTTACTATTAATAAAGTTAACTTTGATTATTAATTGAGTAGAAAATAACCTCAAAAATTATATAAATGGAACAAAAAATTATAATAGAAAACCCAAAAAATTTATAATTAACTAACGGATAAAATTAAATTTTTTTGGTTAACGATAGAAATTAGATTGCATAATTTTCAAAAGTTAAAATGAAATATAGCATAATAAATGAATTTAAGTTTTCAAACACTCCTGAACTTATAATTTAAGAGCCAATTTACTCTTTTAGCTTTGTTAATTTAGTAAATTGATGAGTTGTTAATAAATTAACTTTTAAAATCTTATAAAAGGACCTTATCAAAAAAAATTACCAACAAAAAATATCATTTATAGAAAAGCAACAATAGGGTTATAAAACTATCAAATATGACAAAAGTCATGAGCTAACAAGGGGCATTTTTTTTTTTGGTAAAAGCTAACAAGGGGCATTTGGTTCAACAAGTTGAGGAAGTCATATCAGTTAATTTTGAAATTTTGAGTTTGAGTCCTAAAATGCAGTCGCTTTATATAAAAATGTTAAAAGCATTTTGAGATACTTGTGAGGCCATAGTTGGTAATAATGATCTTGCACGGTAGGGATTTGGATTGGTCTAGGTGGATATAGTAGATATCTCAGAATGCTGGATGATGGAATAAAAAAATAACAAAAGTCATAAGCTTCAAGGCAAAAACTTGAAATAAAACAGATAAATAACAAAAGGCAATGAACTACAACATTCGCTGAGAGGGGGAACAAAGAGAACGACAAGTTTACGCTTCATTTTACTGATTCTGAAATCATGATTTTTTAGCAAAAGAGAAAGGAAGAGGATGCAAGCAATACACTCAAAGCATAATTTTTGCAATCCTTCTGTTCCTTGGTCTTGCATTGTTTGGAATGGATATTCTTCTCTCCAAGAATGTCTTTTATTGCTTGGCTTGCTTCCATCGCAGATTGTCTACCAAATTAAGATAGAATGATCAACATGAATCTCAGTGCAAAATGATATGTGTGCCCTTTGCAAAATTCATCCAGAAACTCCAGATCGTGATAAGTCTAGCGCAGTGGGTGGATTTTTGACATTGGTAGATACTCGGCTTCATGACATGGTAACACGTGTTCACATTATCAAAAGGAAATGAGTGATCTTCAAGCCAGGAGTGGCTTATATTTTGTGCAGCAGCACATACGTTTTCAGGACAAATCACTAAGGAGAAAAATGTTCACATTATCAAAAGGAAATGAGTGATCTTCAAGCCAGGAGTGGCTATATTTTGTGCAGCAGCACATACGTTTTCAGGACAAATCACTAAGGAGAAAAATAAACACTTAACCATATTGAGCATGTTCTTACCAGAATGTGAAAAGGGAAAAAGACAAATACCAAGCAAAATTTCTTAATAACAGTCAACCTGAATAAGTCCAAATGATAAAATATTGTCATTTTTATTAAATCTAATTCTAAAATTTATTGAGTTTATTCGGGTTGAACTCAAATTTCCAGCTCTAAACGGAACGAAAGCATAGCTTTGGAGTTGTCTATAAAGCTAAACAGACCCTAGGCCAGGAACGACAATCCAACACAATTGGAGTTGGAGCTCTACTTTCCCACGCCCCACATTCTTCAGTCTTCGAAACATGTTTTTGAACAATTTTGCCATCTTTCCACTCAATTTGGCTCTTAAACAAGCTGGTTTTGCCGGTCCGGCTTTATTATTCTAATGATAGTTCCATCTCGGCAACCTTCCAAATCCATTTTCCCAACTTCAAAAATTGGATTAATGTCAATCTCAACCTGCCCCATCTTTGTCATCACGACTCAATTGTCTTTGTCGTACACAAACTGCATTCACATGACACCACAATAATGGAGGATTGATTAATTTGTTTTCAAGTTTTGGGCATCTGAATAAACCCAACAAGACTTGAATCATATTTAACAAGTTAACTTGACCTCTGTCTAATGCAGGGAATATGCTTCATTAACATATGAGATTGGCGCGTATCATTTACTTCTATGTTCTTAACTATTGTTCAATGATACC